TGTCAAATAAAATTTCAAAAATAAACTAAAATATGATGTTTAAAGAACAAATCGATGTATTTCCAAAGAACTTCCTGACAAAGCATATTTATAAATGACATCTGTCATATAAAATTTCAAACATAAACTAAAACATGACAATTAAACAAATCGTCCACATATTTCCAAAGATCCTCTCCTGTCAATGGATATTTTCAAATGACATCTGTCAAATAAAATTTCAAAAATAAACTAATTTATGATGTTTAAACAACAAGTCGATGTATGTCCAAAAAACCTACTGTCAAAGGATATTTACAAATGACACCTGTCAAATAAAATATCAAAAATATGACGTATAAATAACATGTCGACGTATTTCCAAAGAACCTCCTGACAAATGACATCTGTCAAATAAAATTTCAAACATAAACTGAAATATATCGTTTAAACAAATCGTCGACATATTTCAAAAGAAACTTCCGTCAAAACATATTTATAACAACCAAAATAATATGTTTACTTTTGAAACTTGCTAAAATAATCTTTTTCATTATTTTTGATAGTGATTTTTTTTACATTCATAAAATTTAATTATTTCTTAACAAGAACGTAGACATTATTTCGGGCTTTCGACTAAAACTATTTGAGGGCCCCAATTTATCAAATTTTGGTTTAGTTGTGTTTATTTTTACTCGCTCCTGCATCTTAACAATGACAATTCAGAATCTCACAAGTTAATTATTATGAAAATTTTCATGAATTATGGTTCAATTTAATAGACCTTATTCATTTTTACCAGCTTCAAAACTTTAACAAATGTTTCCATTAATTTTAGTCATTTTTATGAAATTATTGAATGAAATAATAACAGTGATAATTTATAATCGCTGAAGTTGACAATTACTGTCAATAATTTAAAATTTCTGAAGAAATTCCAGCTGAAGATTTAAATTTGTCAGTACTTAAAATAAATTATATTATAAATTAAACTTTAGTTTGTGTAATATTCATATGTAAACAAAAAAACTAATTATAATAATAGATTTATAAAAATATAAATAACAAAGATCTTTAGATATTCTATGATATAATTTTTGTTAAGTTTAAGAAGTTTTTGCTTAAATTAGATAAAAGATATATATTTCCATATTAAAATATATTTAATTATATTAAACCAAAATGTAGAGTAATATTTTTAATTGAAATTATATATTAACATGTTTCAAAACATTAAAGGAAAATACGTTGTATAGAAAACGATAATGTAAGTAGTTCATACTATTAACCAAATTAAATTCGCAGCAGACTATTACTCTGCACCTTGAGTGCCTTAAATGCGGTTTAATTGGAATTACTTGAATTTTCCGCATTTCCGAAACTGTTTGCTGGTAGGAACCGAATACGAATACGAGAATTTAAAATCACCGACGATAATTGCTTAAGATTTCAATGCGTTTCATTGGGTAAACGTTATTTCATTGGATTCGAAGCAGAATCTAATGAAGCGAGGACATCTTCAAAGACTCAAACTTCGCTCACATCTAAACGTTATATCCCGTTTAAAGTTCATTTTTCTCTCTCTCTCGTCGCATTATCGAAGGAAAATTGATTTCAGATCAATTTTCCGAACGTGCCAGAACTTTTCCAATAACGAACTTTTTAATACAAAATATTTACAATATGTTAAAGACGTCTTCTTATATCCCAAAAAACGCACATACGTATTCCAATTTTTTTTCTTATTATTTTTTAGTATTTTAAAAGGTTTCGAAAGATATTTTTTATTATTCATTAAATATTAATCTTATATGAAATAATATATAAATTTAATATTTATCGATTGATTTATTTTCATAGGAAACATCTTTACGTAAGCGATTTTTCATTATAAATGTAATTAAAATGTTCGAATATAGTCAATTAAGAAAGTTAACTAACTTATTTTAAATTCAAAGATTAAAGTTTTATTTTACTTTTATACGTAAAACTAATTTTAACGAGAGGAGTACAAAGCGTTATTGAACGAACAAATAAGTTGATTACATTGATTATTAAAAACTTACTTTTTTTTATGAAATTATGAACGAATTGATGTGGTTTCATCCATTTGACTTCAAAGTCTGAAAATATTTGTTACTGTTTGTCGAAGTTAAAGTGATCAATTAAATTTATAGTTAAATCTTTCATAGTGCGGTAAGTCCGCTAAACCAATATATGGCACTATTTGAAACCGGACTGTTTGAAACGAGGACTTTAAAAACACATAAAAAAATAAACCGCACAACACGAGACTTGACTGCATATATTTGTTTTGTAATTTTCAAATAGTGTTATAGTGAATCCGCACTCTGCGAGGTATTGCTGCATTGATAAATAATTTCTTCCACTGTGTGTTTCGTGTATATTTAATGACATATCTCGATTATCTGTTGAACATTATTTTCCAGTTGGACAGCGGATCCGGGAAACTGGTGGTACAACAACAAATCATCATCGACAGAACCGCTTCTGTGCGGAAACGTAACCGGATCACGACATTGTCCCTCGAAGTATACCTGCTTATGCGTCGGAGATAATCCCAACTTTGGATACACTAGCTTCGATAACTTCCTGTGGTCCATGCTGACCACCTTCCAACTTATTACACTCGACTATTGGGAGAATGTTTACAATATGGTAAGTGCCAAAAAACTATGCCCCGACCATCAACATTGTCACCACATTAATTTTTGTTTTTCTTTTCTTTTCTTTTGCGTTTCAGATTTTGTCTGCGTGTGGACCAATAAGTGTGTCATTTTTTACAGTAGTTGTATTTTTCGGTTCCTTTTACCTCATCAACTTGATGCTAGCCGTCGTCGCTCTGAGCTACGAGGAAGAAGCTGAAATCACTCAAGAGGTAAGTTCATCGTACCAAATACAAAAATTTACCTTAGACATGACGCAATTTGCATATTAAAAGTACATTATGCAGACAATCTGTTATTCATATCAATTCAAATAATATATATTCAGCGGCAATTCTCACACGCCTTAAACTTAAATTCTGAATATCAAATATTCCCACTGAATATCATTTTACTTCTTTTTTTTTCAAATGCAAATCTCTTCCAAATCTTTAAAACTTTATACAAAATTGATAACTATTTCAATAATTATAGAAAACAAATATTATTATACAATAATCATTAAAGACACTTTTTTTTGTACAAAATCAACATTTTTATTCAAAAGTACAGACATTTCGTTATATTTTCAAGAAAATCTGTTACAAATATGTCTAATAAATCCATTATTAAGTTTAACATAGTGTGCGTTACAATTTTGTTTGACAGTCGTTTATTTTCTGTTGA